AGGTGCTGTGATTAAATACTCTAAATCACTTGGAGGATATAGCATCAAGTTCTTACAGAAGGCACGCACAATGGTACTGATCAGGTATGTTTAAGCTGCAAAAAAATTCTTAGCTATAGATTCGAGTACTTGATATATTCCTCGTTTTTTGTCTGTTTCCATTTCATCACAAGTACGAAGATGACAGGAAGGGTATAATTTCAAAATAAAAGGACCTCGAGAGATCAGTTTTATTGATCCGATTTGTTTGAATTGTAAGTTATTTGAGATATTTTTACTGTAACACTTTTTGTGATGTGATGTATGTGAGATAAAAAAGTAATTGAGAAGATAGAAAGGTGGATTGGAAATTGCAATGATGATGTAAGCAAATATATTTAGAAAAATAATAAGCTGTCCAAACAAGCTTGATCTACTCAAAATGGTATTTAATAATGCTAAAGTCCTAATATGCCTAAGTTCTTATTGATTCTGCTCAATGGGACATTCCTTCCATTTTTTTAATACGTCTACAAAACTAATATCCACATTTTTATGGACCGATTCATGTATTAATGAAGTGAAAAAAAAATAGTGACGTGTGGATGTGTAACTTGTGTAAAGATTTATCTTTTCTCCTCGTCTTGTTTGGGGTTAAATTAGGTGGAATATTAGGTGGAAATCAAATTTAAGTAGCAAATTCAAACAACCTGCTGCAGGGAGGACCGAGTTTGATTTTGCTACTTGAGTTTGATTTCCACCTAATAGCCGTATAAAAAATTTAACCCCAAATACAGAGTTATATATTAAATTATGGCTGCCGTGTCTCGGTCCTCCCTTTCTCATTGATTTTGCGTGGAGGGAATGTTAACTTGGGCAGCAAGAGCACGCAAAGAAAGATGCTACTCTATAATTTTCCATAGATCCAAGCTTTCATAATCGTTGAACCAAATATGAAAACAAGGAGTTAATGATATGGTAAGGTTCTTGTTATCCTGCATTAATAATGTTGAGAAAATATATCCTTGTTTGGATTGCGATTTTCCGTCGAAAAATTACATCGTTTTCCGTGATCACATTTCCTTATTACCTTTTTCCCTCACATACATCAAATCGCTACAATAATTTTTCCATGAAAAATGCAATCCAAACACAAAGACTCTAAAAGCATCACAAAATTAAGGGGTGCAACTTACAAGCAAACGGATCCGGTGCCAACTTGTATAAGTTGAAGCCAAATTGTCAAACTAAACTAATACATGTATCTAATGTTTGTAATTATGAGCTTGTCCGAAAAGTGAATTATTTGCACAAATTTATTTGCTTACATTATCAACATATTTTTTTAACGATTTTTTATCTCGCGCACATCACATCTAAAATGTCTTATAAATATTTCTATAAAAAAATTATTCTGAATAGCCTGCTGCCTAACATACTCTATAGAGTAAAATTTTAAACTATGTGAAGTTTCTCTAATAGTGACTTGCTATACAATTGAATTAGTGAATTCCTTGGACCCAAAACTAGTTGGGTCCCCATTCTTAAAAAAAAGAAGAAGAAGAAGAAGAAGAAGAATTTAGTTAGTAGTTCAATCTTAGACGCAATTGAATTGATCAATCTTGGACGTAAATAAACGATGTAGGCAGCTGCAAGAGTCAAACTCCCAGTTTTCCACAACCGAGGCCCTTTGACATTAAGCCCCTTTTCTGGCATGGCCAATTGGCCATTCGGCAAACAGTGAATAAACAACAAAAGCTCATCATGGTCAATGCAATTGCGATCATTCGATCACTTCAACGGCAACATCGCACTGCTCTTGGCCATTGAGAGAGCATTAGACTAGTCATTGGCTGCTTTTGGACCCGACCCTAGCGCCCAGACAAGAAGATGTGACCCAACACATTAATTAAGAAGTAGTGGGTAGGATTACTAGCAGCAGCATCATATACGTGGAATATTACTAGCTTGACTGAATCGCTGTATTTTTTTTATAAAAATATTTAAAATTTTTATAAAAAAATATATTGTAACGATTAAATATATTTGATATAAAATATTGATTAAAAAAATATATTTATGAAAAAATATTTAAAAATTTTTTTGGAGGAATGTAGTAGTTTTCAAAACCAGGCCTAATAATACGTGCATAGTTAAGCTATGGAGTTTGTAAGATTCTACTACACTTCGTACAAAAACAAACAAGAGGGAGTTTGAAAAGCCAGAAACGAGAGGGAGTTTGATTGTAAGGAAAAAGAGCCTCATAGAGTAATACAAAAAGCTGTGAAGAGTTGGACGGAATTTGAGGAGGTCAACAAAGGGAAGGAGAGTAGAAAGAACACTCAGGGAACAGAAACTCTGGAATATGCTGAGCAAGTCCAAAAACAGTGTGAGAACCAAGCCGGACTGATGATCAAGGTCCACACCCACCTAGACAGAAGGCAACAAATGGTGGGAATTGGAGTCACTGTGACAGACTTGGCAGGTTGTCTACAAGCGAGCTGGGCTTTAAGGGAAAGAATGTCAGGAGACACAAAGCAGGACCTTGCTGGTGCGGTAAGGCTTGCACTTCTGAATGCTATTAATCAAGGCTGGACATGTATTAAAGTGGAGCTGGAGGATAGTGAGTTGATTGAGTGCATTATACATTCAAGAACAAGCAATCAACAGATGGCTACTCTGTTGGAGGATATTCAGTCTATAAGTAATCTGTTCCAAAAGTGTACTTTCTCTTTTGCTGAATCAGGTTTCGTAGGTAGTATCAAATTGAGCATATATGCTCTAACAATCTTAGTTGATGAGGAATGGGTGAATCCCAACTTAAAGTGCTAAGCACTAATGTTTAGGTAGGACCTTTGTCCTGGTGAATGGACCTTTGTCCAAATCTGTACAAATTTGTGTAATTTATAAAGCTATCGTTTCGACAAAAAAAAAAAAAAGTACAAAAACAAACGGGCGGGAGAAATATTCATTTTGTAAGACATTTGTATGTTTCTTCATTACATCGAGTGGGTCCCAGAAAAAAAATTTTTTGTGTACTATTTGAGAGGTCCACGGCCCAGGTAAGAAATATTATTAATAATTAGTGATATAAAATACTACAAATAGTTGGTAGTTTTTTGTTCATTTTTGCACCCCTTGATTTCAAAGTGGAAAGCTTTTTTTTTTTGTCAGACTTTTTCAAGTAAAGCAATTAAACCTAATCCCAAAGTCCACCTCAAAAGCCGGCAACTCTTGAGGCAACCTTGGGGACTTAACTACCCGACCCTCAAACCCCTTAGAATCGATGTGGGACAACGGGAAGGTTGGAAGGGAAGTTTCTACTAGACCTTAACTAAGACCCACTTACCTCAGAATTCCCCCCCGACTTACGTCTTTGTCTTTTTTTGTCAGACTTTTTCAAGTAAAGCAATTAAACCTAATCCCAAAGTCCACTTCAAAAGCCGGCAACTCTCGAGGCAACCTTGGGACTAAGTGGAAAGCTTTTGATTACATGCTTTTGTTCATCACATCGGGTCTAAAAGCAAATGAATCCCAAAAGTCAGTAAAAGTAACTACTTATGCTATATTAAAATTTGCAATTTGGAAGGTCCAGGTCATAGAGACGAAAGGAGAGGAAGGAAGGAGGAAAGTGCATGAAAAAGAATCAATAGAAAAAACGGTAATTAGTTATAAGGTATGAAATGAAAACGAAGGAATATGCTTTCATCTCGGGCGTCGGAACCAACTCTCTGCTATTCACCGCATTTTCCTATCTTATTCAAGGGAAAGGAACCGAGAAATTTCACTTGAGAGCGAAAGGGGAATTACTTCTACTTCAAAAAACTATTCCTCCTTAGGTTTTTAAGTTTAAACAGGGCATCTGATTCACTGTTCAGTCTCCATATACCCTGACCTGAAGAATTTTGACCAATATTAGAGCACCACATCAGAAAAGCAATATACGCCAGCGGAAATACCAATTCTACAAGAAACACATTGTCCATCAGATTTATTGCGTGGCATCTTTTTATTCGTTCCACTTATGTGGAACACGATCCCCCAACGGAGTCTTGCTGAAGCCAACAAACTCTGCTCATAGCCTATACAGTTGCCCCAAGCCGCCTCGAAACGCCAAAACCACCCTAGACTCCGTGAAATGGCAAATTTATCCTCCAGGAAAGTTGGAAGAAAATTCCAGTCTTTTTCCTGTATAGGAGACCACCTCCCCAAGCTCGACTCAATCAATGGCTGTCTTTCCCAAAATCCGAGGCACTCATGACCAAACCCTAATTAGTCTAACCGCACAAATCTATAACAAAGCTAACATAAACAAAGAAGATTTGTTTGTGTTAGTTGAAGTTATTTTTTACTTTTTTTTTTAAGTGAAAGTTTGAAACCTAAGGCCTCCTGTTTATAATTTTTCCTAATTTACTATCTAACTCAATCCATTCATCTCCCTTGTGTTAGTTTAAGTTATTTAAATGTTAAAGTAAAATTAAAAAATAATTATGAATATTTCAAACTTAACTGATAGGGCACAATAAAATTAGTAAGATAATTTTACTTGTAACTAATAGATTTCATTTCGTAGATAAGAGGCGGTAGATAGAATTTCACTTTTGATTTTCTTTTTAAAAATATTATTAAAATTAATTTCGATCAAAAATTCGAAGAAACCAAACTAAAAGAATAACAATTTCAAACTCATTTAAGAATTTAAATGATGATGTTTAAATTGTATTAGAATGATTTAGGTTGATCATATCCAAAATAAACTTGAAAACGTTGAGCTGAGGAGCATGAATCCTTGGGCTTTGTATGGCCCTATTTCATGCGCCCCTTCCCTCCGAGAGAGAAAAAAAAAAAAGAAACAGAAAGGATATATATGTAATTATGTTTGAGATCCGTGAGGTATAACAAATAATTGGGAGTGGAAATAGGATTGTTTAATACGAAAAGATAAATTAAAAGAACGAGCACAAGAAGCCAAGAAAGTACGTCGAAAGTTCACTGGGCGATTCGAAGCGTTGGCTCTTTAACTTGGCGTTGTCTTATAACGGAGGTTTGCGGAGAGCGGGGCTGTAGGGTGATATCTCTCGCAGTATTTTTATTACCGTCGCTATCAGGTTTCTCTCTCACTAATTCCGGAATAGTTTCTAGGGAGAGAAAAGGAATACGACTAATCCATCGAAGGTTGCTTAGGCCCAAAACATCACTACTATTCTCGCACGCACTCTTGCTATCTCTAAAACCTATCTGCAGAAATCTCCTTCTTTCAAGGTACTACTCACTTTCGAAACCCCAGCAATTAAGTTTTACATTTTTATTTATTATGTCGAATTTATTTGCTATGTGATTGATAGATTTGCACATATATCTAGAAGAAAAAATAAATGAATTCTGTTTTTAGTGCTTCCATGTAGGAAGGAAGTATTAGTTGTTTAGAATTGAAGTAGTTGTTCTAGATCCTTTGTCCGTTTTATGCCGTTATTGGTGAAAGATTTTATATTTGCTGAATCTGTGTGATGTGATCGCTGGATTCATGTGTTGAATTGTTTGAAATTTGTAGGTGGAGTTTTTTGTCCTAATTGGGGAGCGGAGGATTGCGGAGTGATTTGGTGGATTTTTTTTTTTTCCTTTTGGGTGGAAGTTGATGGGGAAAGGGGGGCAAGATTATGGAAAAAAGGAGATTTTGGGCGAGAAAAAGGAGTCTAATAGGGAAGCTTATCCAGCGTGGTCAAAAGATGTGAAGGAGTGTGAGGACAAGTTTCAGGTTAGGAGAGATTTTGGGTTGTCCAGCGATGAGGTGGAAAAGAGAAGGCGGATCTATGGGTGGAATGAGCTTGAAAAGCACGAGGGGCCTTCCATTTTTAGGTTGATTTTGGATCAGTTTAATGATACTCTGGTTAGGATTTTGCTTGTGGCTGCAGTGGTCTCGTTTGTTTTGGCTTGGTGTGATGGCGAGGAAGGTGGGGAAATGGAGATCACTGCATTTGTGGAGCCTTTAGTCATATTCTTGATCTTAATTGTGAATGCTGGTGTTGGGGTGTGGCAAGAGAACAATGCTGAGAAAGCATTGGAGGCTCTGAAGGAGATACAATCTGAGCATGCCACTGTGATTCGTGATGGTAGAAAAATTTCGAGTTTGCCCGCAAAGGAGCTTGTTCCGGGGGATATTGTTGAGTTGCGAGTTGGGGATAAAGTTCCTGCTGATATGAGGGTTTTGAGTCTGATTAGCTCGACTTTTCGGGTTGAGCAGGGGTCATTGACTGGAGAAAGTGAGGCTGTTAGTAAGACCAGTAAAGCTGCTGCAGAGGATGTTGACATTCAGGGGAAAAAGTGCATGGTTTTTGCCGGAACAACTGTGGTTAATGGGAACTGTGTTTGTTTGGTTACTGACATTGGGATGAATACTGAGATAGGAAAGGTCCATTCACAGATTCAAGAGGCCTCACAAAGTGAGGAAGATACTCCATTAAAGAAGAAATTGAATGAGTTTGGAGAGATTTTGACTGCTATTATTGGAGTAATATGCTTACTAGTTTGGTTAATTAACTTGAAATATTTTCTCTCCTGGGATTATGTTGATGGCTGGCCTAGGAATTTTAAGTTCTCATTTGAGAAGTGCACGTACTACTTTGAGATTGCTGTAGCATTGGCAGTTGCTGCCATTCCGGAAGGGCTTCCGGCTGTCATCACAACTTGCTTAGCCCTAGGCACCCGCAAAATGGCTGCTAAGAATGCACTTGTTCGCAAACTTCCCAGTGTGGAAACTCTTGGTTGTACAACTGTAATTTGCTCGGATAAAACGGGTACATTGACGACAAACCAAATGGCTGTGGCTAAGTTAGTAGCTATGGGTTCGAAGGGGAGTGCTCTTCGAACGTTTAATGTGGAAGGGACCTCTTATGATCCTTCTGATGGAAAAATACAAGATTGGCCAAAGAGTCAAATAGATGCTAACCTTCAAATGATTGCTAAGATTTCGGCAGTGTGCAATGATTCTGGAGTGGAACAATCTGGCCATCATTATATCGCCAGCGGCCTGCCTACAGAGGCTGCATTGAAGGTATCTTAATCTAATCATTTATCTCCTCATGCAAATTTAATTTTTAGGCTTCATATAGCAAGAATAAAATCTTTGGTTTTCCTTTCTGACATTAATACATGTGGTAACAGAAATTTGTCGTGGCTTTGTCAGATTCAGTCCTGATCATTAAATTTTCAACAACTGAATAATAAATAGCTCTTGGTCCTCCGGACATAAAAGATCCCTAGTTTGTGTTCTATTTAATCTTTTTTGAGCAAAAATTCAATTTTTTTCTTTTGGGGGGGGGGTTGTTATCTGCTTGACTATTGTGACTATTGTGATGTTCCTCAGAAGTCCTTGGACAAAAAGAATAGGCAGAAGGTCATAGTTCTTTGTCTTACTTTTTAGCAGACTAAAGGTGACTCCATAAGTTGCTGCTATGAGATATACTTGTTTGCTTCAGATGTGTTAACTTGTCCTCCAAAGGCTTCCTAGCAACTGATATTTCATGGAAGGAAATTCTTGATGTGAACTTCTCGTGGTTGATTATCTTTCAGGTTCTGGCTGAAAAAATGGGTCTTCCTGCTGGATTGGATGCTGTCTCATCTTCTGCTAACAATGGTGGACTTCGTAAGTGGTTTTCGCTTCTCTCAACATCATGCGTCACGCTAAGTTTGTCAATTCTACTGCTGACCCCCACTTGCTTCATTTTGATAGGTTCCTCAAACATATGGAATAAGATTGAGAAACGGATTGCCACTCTTGAGTTTGATCGTGATAGGAAATCAATGGGAGTTATCGTGCAAAACTCTAATTCTGGAAGGAAGTCATTGTTGGTGAAGGTAATAACCTTCGCTCTTTCTTCCGAAACATCTGGCCTCGTGTTTTACTGCTGTTTTTTGTATTCTTTATCTAATATTGTTTGGCATGAGGGTCATATGTTTTTCTTTGGTTTATCTGTGGGACCTACAAGTGGTATAATTAATTCTTCTTGTGCAATGTTGGGTTTCCTTCATTTTTTTCTTTGCGATGGACACCATACTGATCAAAGGCTGATGGTTTTTTTTTTTTTTTTTGGTAACGGAGACTGGAAAATGTGTAACTTCAATTTATGGCAGGATTCAAGATTTATTTGGCATGGCTGCTTTCCAAATTATTTTTCTGGCCATAGTCACTTAAATCCAATTGATAACTTGATAACATGCCTTTGCAAACGGTGGCATTTCATGTGTGTATGTGCTCAGAGCTCTCCATATAGGAAGCTTTTCAGTCAATTATATAGTGGATAGAGTTGACTCATGTTTAATGGGAAATGTTTATTCTCAATAGTGGTCTAGGTAATTGATGTGGCTGCTTCCAGGTCATCTTTTATGTAGCTTCCCTGGTCTGAAATGTTCCACATTGTACAAATCTAAGGATTCTTTTGCTCTGCTCTGGACACCATTGCTTTGTTTTATGTCTAGTTTGTTTTGAGCTTTGACAGAAATTGATCTTTTCTCTGTGTAAAATGTTCGGAGAATTTTAGGACCAATACATCTATAATTTACTAAACATTTTGATCATATGTGTTTTGACTTCAAGAGCCTCAGTTTCTTCCCCTCTTGATGGAAAGTTTAGTTGAGTTGCTTGATTAGATTCTACATGTCTACAGGGTGCTGTGGAAAATCTGCTCGAGAGAAGCTCCTTTGTGCAATTGCGTGATGGTTCTGTTGTCGAACTGGATCAAACTTTAAGGAATCTCATTCTAGAAAGCCAGCATGAAATGTCGACGAAAGCATTACGCGTTTTAGGTTTTGCATACAAGGATGACGTTCCAGAATTTGACACTTATACTGGTGATGAGGACCATCCAGCTCATAAGCTCTTATTGAATCCAGCTAATTATTCTTCAATTGAGAGTAAACTGATTTTTGTTGGTTTGGCTGGAATAAGGGTGAGGATATACTTGAATGTTGTTGCATTGATTACTATAATTTCGATAAACATGTTTTAAATGTTAAGATTATGACAGTTTGTGAGTTTTTTTGCTTGTTTGACAGGATCCACCTCGGAAGGAGGTTCGCCAAGCTATTGAAGATTGCAGAGCAGCTGGGATTCGAGTTATGGTAATTACTGGAGACTACAAGAATACAGCTGAAGCTATATGTCGTGAAATTGGTGTTTTTGGATCGCATGAGGATATTAGTTCAAGAAGCTTAACAGGAAAAGACTTCATGGACCTTCGCAACCCAAAATCGCATTTAAGACAGCTTGGGGGACTTCTTTTCTCTAGGGCTGAACCAAGGCACAAGCAAGAAATAGTCAGGCTGCTCAAAGAAGATGGTGAAGTTGTAGCAATGACTGGGGATGGAGTGAATGATGCACCTGCATTGAAATTAGCAGATATTGGAATTGCAATGGGAATTGCAGGAACTGAGGTAGAACTTTGCTTTCGGCTTCCAGAAACTAAGATTTTTACTTGCTTTGAAGCATGTGATGATGTTAATGTTTCTCATTATGATATGAAAATCAATGGCGTATGTGCGAATATTTATTTGTGCCAGTTGAATTTTTTTTTAATAGTATCGTAGAGGACTTGAACCTCAATCAAGATCAATATCACATGAAACGTGGGGAAGATAAAAGAAGAAACTTTAGTGAATGAATCTTTTGTGGCTACCATGAAATGCTATCGATCTTTTATGACACCTTCTAATTCACTACCCAGTAGAACAGTTATTTTTCTTCCACTATTTGTTTCATATCCTGGTGCTGTATTCTATATCTCACATTTGCTTAACATGCCAGGTTGCAAAGGAAGCTTCTGACATGGTTCTGGCAGACGATAATTTCAGCACAATTGTTGCTGCTGTTGGTGAAGGCAGATCCATTTACAACAATATGAAGGCATTCATCAGGTTTATCTTTTCCTTCTTGATTTTTATAGCACTTGCTATGAATTCAGAAACTTCACACTACCAATCCATAAGTAAAAAATTGTTCTTGCATGTCAATGTGTTCAATTGCACTTTTGCATTATGAAAACATGAAGACTCACCACTTTTTAAGCACTTGTGCAAAATACAGAGCAGTGCCCTTGATGTCATGTTCTTTTTGTCCTTTATCTGATGCTCTTTTGTAAACAATGTCCTATCCTCACCTTTTTGTTGTCTCTGCGAAGGATAAGTTAGCATGTTTCTCATTGTTGCAGGTACATGATTTCCTCGAACATTGGTGAGGTTTTCTCCATTTTTCTGACAGCAGCTTTAGGTATCCCTGAGGGTCTTATCCCAGTTCAGCTTCTGTGGGTCAACCTGGTAACTGATGGACCACCAGCAACAGCTTTGGGATTCAATCCACCAGATAAGGATGTAATGAAGAAACCTCCTAGGAGAAGTGATGATTCGTTGATCAGTCCTTGGATTTTGTTTCGTTATCTGGTGAGATATTTTTAACTCTCAGTTAACCGATCTCTCTCAGTTGTGCAGTGTTTTATCACTTCTTTTTGTTTGCTTGCCTCATTTGAGCTTTGATGCAGGTGATTGGACTATATGTTGGTTTAGCAACAGTTGGTATTTTCATCATCTGGTATACGCATGACTCTTTCTTTGGCATTGATCTAAGTGGAGATGGACACAGTCTTGTCACCTATGCCCAGCTAGCTAACTGGGGTCAATGCAACTCATGGGAGAATTTCACAGCTTCACCTTTCACAGCTGGGAATCTAGTGTTCAACTTTGACACAAATCCATGTGACTACTTCCAGACTGGCAAAATCAAGGCTATGACTCTCTCCCTCTCTGTTTTGGTCGCCATTGAGATGTTCAATTCCCTCAATGCTCTCTCGGAAGATGGAAGCCTCTTGACAATGCCTCCATGGGTTAACCCATATCTCCTTGTCGCCATGTCAGTCTCATTTGGCTTGCATTTCTTGATTCTTTACGTTCCATTCCTAGCTCAAGTCTTTGGCATTGTCCCTTTAAGCCTGAACGAGTGGTTATTGGTATTGTTGGTTGCCCTCCCCGTCATATTAATTGATGAAGTTCTCAAGTTTGTGGGTCGGTGTACGAGTGGAGTTCCAACATCAGCAAGAACTACAAAGCACAAGGCGGAGTGAGAACAAATAATATCAAACAGATAACAGGCTGAGAATAACGCTCATGCATAAAGCCGCGGACGGGCATATTGGTGATACCCACGGTCTCAGTTCTTGGAGTAAGATACAAGTATTAGTTGGAAACCTGGACTATGGAGGGTTAATTATTACATAGATTCGTTTGACATTTATAGAACTCTTGATTGATGGTAGAGTCTTACCATGACTTTCTAGTTTTGTTTTTACTGAATGATTGGCCTTTTAATTGTTGGGCTGATCTCATTAGTTTGAGCGAAGTGGAACATCAAGTGGTATGTTCTACTAATTCTATTTGTTGGTTTCGCCAATACTAACCAGTTGAGAAATTGGATGTTGCAAAATTCTACTTTTTTTTTTATATATAGAAAAGCACAAACTTTACCGTGTCAGAAGGTAGAGTACTGTCGAACTCTGCAATTTTCTGCAGCGTACCATCGAAGTGGGCTCGTCTTTGGTTTAACTTTTCATTTTTCAAGAAAAAAACAAGTAAATCGCAATAATTAGATTAGATTAGATTACAAGGATATGCTCAAAGGGCAAACAATAAAATGACAGCTTATAAAAACAGCGGCGTTCCGTTGAAGGATTCTCGCTGAAGTGAAAAGCGTACAGAATCACAATGCCAGATTCGCATAATCTACAAGAAACCAACAAAGTAATCATTTCATTAATCACCAAAATACCATTCCAAAGCGCATAGCTTACAATGCATGAACCACGACACAAAAATACACCACCTAATCACTACTAATCCCCCTAATTACACTACCATTACCCTAATCCCAGGACAACAGAAAGAAACACAATTAAACTACAAGCACATTCCTTCTTTTTCTTTTTTTTTGTTTCAATCTTTTTCCTCTTTCTTGACAGCAAGACTTCTGCAAAACCAACAAAAGTCAATTCTACCCTTTCCCCCCAGTCTCTCTATCCACCGAAGCCATACAGTGTCCTGCCCTGCCTCTTGAGCGCGTACACAACATCCATGGCCGTCACCGTCTTCCTCCTGGCGTGCTCTGTGTAGGTCACGGCATCACGGATGACGTTCTCCAAGAAAATCTTAAGCACCCCACGAGTCTCCTCGTAGATCAGACCGCTGATACGCTTCACTCCTCCCCTACGAGCCAGACGGCGGATTGCTGGCTTTGTGATGCCCTGGATGTTGTCGCGGAGAACCTTACGATGACGTTTTGCTCCGCCCTTTCCCAATCCTTTGCCCCCCTTTCCACGGCCCGACATTTTCAATTGCTAGCTACGAAAACTGGAGATGGATCTCTTGCTTTTCTGTACAAAATGAAGAACAATTAAGGATTAATTTAACAGAAATTAAGCTCGAGTGAACAAAAGTTTACCAAAAAAAAAAAAACAATGTACGCAAAAGATAAACCCAGAAAACTAAGTTAACCCACAAAAATACCCCCAAAATTCCTTTTAAAAAAAAACTAGAAACATTTTAGCCCCAGTGGTGAAATTATGAAATACACGACGCATCAAAAGCAAAAAAAAAAAAAAAAGTGATTAATTGAACAGAATTTTCAGCTGAATTTATTTAAAAAATGTAAAATGAGGTATGGATTACCAAAGAAACAAATACCAATTCCTAATTTAGCTAGAAATGATCATAGCTCAAGAGCTGAAACTAAAGAAAAACAAATTATGCGAAGAAAAATGCTGTTAGAAATGCAGTAATGGTGGTATCTACTGATAAGAAAAAAGGAACCTTGATTGAAGAGAGAGAAAGCAATGGGAGTGATAGGGTTGTGAAAAGGAGTTGGGTGGGGGTGTCAATTTATAGCAGTGGTGATTGAGGAAATTGCTCGGGATCTAATGAGGGGTCGATCCAGAGTGGGAGTTCACAGATGTTTTCGACGGTTGATTTTTTATAGATGGACAGTTGGGATGCATTTTCGGGGAGCGACAAGGATCGATGACGTGGAGGTGTTGATTTTAAAATACATTTTGTGTTTCAGAATTTGGTGCGAAAAGTTTGAAACGGTTTCGGAATTTGGATTTGGAGAAAAGTTAAAAATTAGGCGGGGACGGTTAACCGCTCTGATGAGGATTTTGGGGGAAGATGGATTCGTGACGGGCGGAGCCTTCTGATCGGGTTTTCGGGTTTCCAACTCTGATTACTCCCTCCTTTCCTATTTAAGTGACTTGAATATCCGAAGCTCTTAGATTGAGAAGCTTCATTAATTCCTAAAAGAATTAATCTTTCCTACACCGACAATATATACACTATCAACATTAAATGAATGACAACTATGCAAATTTTGAATTTAAAATTTAACTTTTGTACACATATCATGAATCCAACGATAATAGTGTATACACTCTCAGTGCATATAAGATTTACTCTTTCTAAAATTCAATAATGATTTTACCTAACTTTTCAAAGCTACCATTTATCTTTCATATATTTTCAACTACTTTTAAGTTTAACGCTATAAACATTGCATTTAGTTTTTATAAGGATTAATCTTATATACATTATCAGTGTATACGTTATTACCATTAGATATATGATACATGTGTAAAATTTAAATTTAAAATTTATTGGTATGTCATCCATCTAACCATGATAATGTATACGTTAATAGTGTATGTAAAATTTACTTTTTTTATAATCCCAACTCAAGAAAGTTGAGAGTATAAATAAGAATAAATTTGCAAAAAAAAAAAAAAAAAGTTCTCCAATGCTTTTTTGATTTAATAACAGTGAACACTAGGTTTGGGTCATTTAAATAGGAGTGGAAGGAGTATCTCGTATAGGTTAATATTTAGTTTGAATTGCTATTTTGTGGAGCTTTTGTAAATAAAAAAAAATGTTGAACGATTTAACATATTTGAAGTAAAAAAGTGATTGAAAAATATAATTACAAAAAATATTTAAAAAAAATTCTTTAAAAAATTACGATCCAAACATAGACTTTTTGTACTTATATTTGGTAAATAGCGGTTAATGCGGAAATATTGGCCAACTATTTGTGGTTAATTTATTAGCAAGCTTGAAATATTCCACCTTGTCTTGTAATACTTAGATAGCATTTGTTTGCAAGAAAAGGCGAAGAAAATAGTTAATTTTCTTTCATGTATTTTTGGTTAGCAAGAAAGTAGACAAATTTTTCTTGCTCTTTCGTTCTCTTTTCTACATTTTGTAGCTCGTAATTTTTTGTAAAGTTTTGATGGAAAATGGGTTACTTAGACACAAAATTTTTAATAACTGCTAGTAATTGTCAATTAGCTTTCTCATTTTCTCTCAAAAATTTTCTTGATGAGTGAGGATGGTCATCCCAGCTCGGATCCACCGAGGAGGTATTCCAGTCCATAATAGTAGGACTCCATCCGTCATTATCACCTCGCCCACCCCGTACCTGTCGATGACCGAGGTGGACTCAGCGTCCGCTGTCACCTCAGGACGGAGTTGTGATTCACATCATTACCGAGGTCCTGTCTAAAGGATTTAACAACCGAAGAGTAGCGGATGTGTCATCTGACACACTCTGCTCACTGCCCTGACACCTTGTCCACTGCCCAGAGTTGTCGAGTCAAGGTGATATGCTGTCTTAGTCAGATTTCTAGGGACCTAGACCCCACAGTCTTTCCCTCCAAATTGTTCCCTATAAATATCAGGACCTCCCACTGAGAAAATGACTTTTTCCTGGTAAAAGCCTAAAACCCTGTGAAAATATTCCACATTTCATATTGTCAAAGGACTAACTAGATCGTTGAAGGAAAATTGGGGGACCTAGCCCCGTCTCTGATAAACTAAGCAGGTGATCTGCAAGTAAGTTACCTTTCCAACTAGGAGTGCGCTTCAGCTATCTGAGTCAGGTCAGAAATCACCTCTTCAATGAGCAAATGTAAATTAGAAGATTATTTTTATTTTTCTTTACTTCACTTCCTTGCACTTTTCACATAGCTTTCCCTCCATTCAAAACAAAAAATGGAGAACAATGGTTGCCGCAAATAATGACATTATTATCTCGTGCAAAAGTAATAGTAATAATCAATGGCAAAGAACGACATTATATCTCTTGCAAAAGAAATAACAATCAAGGTCATACGTAACATTTTTAGTTTTTTAGCAAGGGGTAAAAGCTCAAGAAGTAGGTAGAGGATAAGATACTTGGATTTAAAATCTCTAACGTCAAGAATCTCAACTTTACTCATTTAATTAAGACATCTTCAACAAGTTAATTTAAAGGATAAAATATAAAAAATCCCCTAAAAGTTAAGCGAAATATAGAAAAATCCCCCATAGTTTGAAATCATAAACTCCAATACTTTATGATTTGAATTAATTTAAAAAAGTGATGGAAATTGTCTGAAATAACAAGTTTGAAATACACGAGTTTCTTTTACAAGTATTTGTACTTAAAACAATCAAAATTTTAGTTGATATACCTATTATATCTTTAGAGTTATAATATAGAAAAGTCTCTTGTGGTTCAACAAACATACAGAAAAAAGTTTTTTATATTTTCGAATCATACGATCCAATAACTCGTAGTTTGAACTAATGTAAAAAATTGACAAAAATCATTTAAATTAATGAGTTTGAGGTTGCTTGACATGAAAAATAAATTTTTAAATCAAAATTTTAGCTAATATACATATTAAATCCTTTAAAACTCATAAAATTTGCAAAACAACCTAAAATTTCCAAATACATCTCACCTTATTTCTATACATATAATAAATAAATAAATAAATTCAAATAAAACCCACCTTATTTCTATGCACAAAATAAATAAATAAATAAAAGATCCTAAATAAACTCACCTCATTTCTATACACAAAATAAATAAATTAAAATAAAATACCACTATCATCTCTTCCTCCACCACCACCCCCGTCTCTTGCCACCAACATTTTTCACATTTCACCACCGTCCTCCCTCTATCACCACTCTCTTTCTCTATCACTGTTCCATTCCTTTCTTTCATCCCTCTATTCCTTTCCCTTTCATTCCCTTCCTTCCCCTCTACTACATCCCGCTCCCTCTCTTCCCTTCATAGTTACTTCCCTATACCATATCTTCTTTTAGTAACCATAGCTAGTCGCAAGAGAGAGGGAAGAGGGTGTAGGAAGAGGTGGCAAACTAGATTGCCCCTTCCTCTGCATTTTCTTCCTTCATTCTAGTGATAGATTGGTCAAGCGAATGAGATGAGAAGATGTGAAAAGAGGGCCGCAATGGGAGGAAAGGGGGTGCAAGGGAGGGAAATAAGGAAAAAGAGGGTGAGAGAAGATAGTGGACAAAAAATGAGAGGAATAGGGATTGTGATGGATGAGAAGGAGGCAATAGAAGATGGCAGTAGAAGATAGAGAATGGTAGTGATAGTAACATATAACCACATGGGGATTTTTTTTCCTATAGGTTGATTTAAGCATAGGGTTTTTTCCATAAGTTTGCTTAACAGGATGGCTGGTAGAAGGTCTTTTATTGCTTATATATATTAGTATAATTGTGTCATTTCGTCTACCTTTGTTATTTTTGACGATTTTCATTACTGTTTTAAATTAGTTCAAACCATAAAAGACTGAAATGTATGATTTAAAACTACAAAGGGCTTTTCTGTAGGTTAGCTTAACCACAGGAGTATTTTTTTTTTTTTTTTGTATTTTACCCTAATTTAAGTTCACAATTACAAGTCATCTATACTAAAATTGGATCCATAGCACATCTCTGTCTTTTCATTCCCATTATTTTCTATTTCATTAAAATATACTTATTTTTTTGTTAAAGACAAACCAAATTATTTCTCGTTGATCATACAATATGTCAAGCTCATAGACTTTACATACGTACGATCTAACTATAGTATGTAGTCCTTAATCGTTAATTATGTCTCACTCATGATATATGGAACCAACAGCTATTTGGGTGGTTGGGCCACCACCATAATAGAGCTGTTAAGCCAAACGAGTAGCTCGAAATCTCGTTAGAGCTTGATTCGGTGAGGCTCGAGCTCGGCTCGTTAATTTCAGTTAACGAGTCAAGCTCGAACTCGAAATATATTCGTTTAGTTATCGAGCCGAGTAAGCTCGAATTCCCTTATTTATCGAGTAGCTCGATTGAGCTTGACAACAAAGGGCATTGTTGTCATTTTAGCAATCAAAGAACAGAAATTTGGACTAGGGTTCGATACATCCATTGCTTTCATTTCATTCTTCTTCTCCGCCGCACCCTACTAGACCACAGTCCTCTCTCTCCATCTCTGCCTCTCAACCGCACAGCCCGCACCCCACAGTCAGAGGCTTCGCCGCCACCGCTACCCACAACCTCCCTCTCCGTCTCTGCCTCTCAGCCGCACGGCCCGCACCCCACACCCATCACCGCCGCCGCTACCCACAGCCAGAGGCTTCGCCGCTACCCACGTTAGTTTTTTTTTAAAATTATATAATTTTACTTCTGGGTTTACTGAACCAGTGAAGCCGCAAGAAGAAGCAATTCTTTAGTTTCCTAATCCCTGATGAACCACTTTTTTTGGAAACATTCACCATGTTAACTGGTGTTCGTTAACTGCCACACTAGAATTTACCAAAATATGCTGCCATTGGTGTTGATCCTTGGTGTGTCAGTAGACACTGCACAGAAATGGGAGCGTGCTTTTAGTAAGAAAGAGCAAAAGTTGATTCAGACACCCAGAAACTTGGTGGATGAAGTTTGGATTAGCCGCCCACCACTTGAACTGAATCCTATTGTTGTGCATTCTCCACAATTTTCTGGTCGTTCTGTTGCAGACAAGTTAAAAGATTTGAGAGAGAACCTTGTGCAGGAAAAAGCTCGTGGTATATTGATAACAACTCTTGATGAGGTAAATCTCTGGTGCTTGTGATTTGGTTCTTTGCAATTGTCGACTTTTTCAGAAAAATACTGGTTTCTTCAGCTTGTTTCGCAATTTAATGTAATTACAACCATATAGGTTGCCTGGCTTTATAATATTCGCGGCACTGATGTATCCTACTGCCCAATTGTTTTTGCGTTTGCAGTGGTAACATTAAGCTCAGCTTTCTTGTATGTGGACCAGAGGAAGTTATCGTCTGAGGTTGCTTCTAATAGCATTTGATCTAGAAAATTTCCCCTATTTTATTTTACTGAGTTCATTGGAAATATTAATGTGTAATTAATCGATTTCTACTATTACCGTAATAAATGTAGGTGACGAAGGAGAATGTGATGGAAGCAATCGAATGACACATTCTTGGGGAGGCAGTTTTGATGGCCAATTTCTGAACGAATGATTTAGAAATGTGTACAATCAGGAAATGTAAAACTAGAAAGAAAATGTGACCTTTCAATAACGTTTTTTTTTTGACTTTGCATATAGCTTAAATTTAAGGTAAATATGGTTGTTTTCTTGCCTAGTCTTTAATTATTAGTTCACAAAACCAACAAATATCTAAACAGAATATCTCCTCTCTAGAAATTGAAATTGCATATTTCTTTTGTCTTATCCAGTTCAAAATATGTTTTACAAACAAATGGAATCAATACATCTCTTCTAAACTCCAAGGGCATTGAGCGAGCGAAGTCTTGACATTCTTTCTTTCTTTTTCTTCTTTTAATTCACTAAAGATCTGAAACTAACCATGAAAATGTGTAGATGCAGATTATGTGCTTCTGTTTGAGCAAATTATGTTGATAAAATGCTGAATTTGGATTCATACATGTGTAGAAATGGCGAAAAGCAAGCTGAAAATAGTATTATCCCCTTCCAAGAGTTCAGAACCTGCTATCAATATTGAACAACCAATATAGTGTTTGCTTATTCTTCATGTTATCACATAGCCTTGTGGGAGGGAGGAAGGGAGCAGGCTTTCTTACAGTCACTGATATTCTCTCTTATAGCCACTTGACTGCATATGTTTCTTATGGACTTGTCTTTTAAATAATAGGTATGTACAGTCCTCCATTTCATTCACACCAAGGATCGTCAATAAGTCCTATTATGGAGGTTGGAAATGAAGCTGTAGATCAAGAACTTGAGGTGGAGTCTAATATTGATGAGATGAGCGAAGAAGAGCTGAACTTAGATAACCTATAGCAGCCAAATGAAGGAGCAGAAACAGGGGAAAAAAGTATACAAGAAGGAGCAAATCCGTTTGAAAAAAATGAACGGAAAAAGAAGTCAACAATATGAGAGGATATGACAGTAGTAAAACAGCCTGATGGAACATCGAAAGTGCAGTACAATCACTACAAAGAACTATTTGCCAAAAGCCCATCTGGAGCTACCTCTCAACACAAGCATCATCTCAAAAATTGCCTACAAATGAGGCTGGTTGTTGGGGAGGAAAATCGAAAGAGGCAGCAAGTGTTATCCTTTACCGAAGGACCCTCGGATGGTATAACTTCTATAACTAATTTCTCGTATGATCATGCTAAAGTACGAGAGTTAGCAGCTCATATGGTTCTTGTACACGAGTATCATTTCTCTATGTTGGACCATGTTATTTTTAACAAGTTCATGAAAGCTGCATCTCCATTTTATAAAAAGATTAATCGGCAAACAGTAAAAGAAGATTGTGTGACTGCTTACATGCTTGAAAAGAAAAGGCTGAGAAATCTTTTAAAATGTGCCAATAGGGTTAGTATAACCACAGATTTGTGAAAATCTGGTCAAAAAATTCAATACATGATTGTGACAGGGCATTTTGTTGATAGTGAATGGGTGTTGCAAAAACGGGTTCTAAATTTTTGTAATGTCCCACCTCCTCACACAGGAGTAATTATTGCTGATACTTTAAGTAAGTGTCCCACCTCGTCTGGGCCCGGTTCGTTTGTGATGAACGAGTCAAGCTCGAGCTCGAGTCACGTTTTCATTTTTCGAGTCGAGTTCGAGTGCATATCATAGCTCGTTCGCATAGTCGAGCGAGCTCGAACCTGGCTCGAGTTCTTCACGAGTCGAGCTCGGCATTCAGAAACTCGGCTCGACTCAGCTAGATTAATAGCACTACACCATAACCTTTAACTCATGATAGCAACACATAATTTATTTTTTTGCTCAAGTGAATGGGAAATGAGGGAAAATGAATATTGACCAAAAAACGTGCTTTCAATTTTTCGCTTCCAACCAAATCAGCAGGTTTGTTTTGATAGGGTATTATTTGAAATAATTATTGTAAAATTTTTTATGATATGATATATGTGAGATAAAAAGGTGATTGAAAATATAAAAAGATGGATTAAAAAATATATTTATCATGTAAACAAAATATTATTTGGGCTAATTTGCTGTCCAAACATTACTCTCGATTGCCCAAATCACCCGTTGGTTAAGATCATACTTATTTTAGTACTTAGTTCGTGTTTTTTCTGCTAGCTTTATAAACAGTGGTTACTTGAAAGGACTGCGAGTAGGAGGAGGTACCGCACGAAACTTTTGCACAGCAACCCTTTCAGCACTCCCCGCCGTTTCTTCCCTCCAAACTCCAAATTCCACGAGCATTTACATCCAACAAAGAAGAAGCACAAAATATTAAAAAAAAAGAAAAGGAGAAAAAGGAAAAGGAATGGGGTTCTTCGACCTGAACATTCCATACCACGAGTCCGACCGCCATGTGACCAAAACAACCACCTACAAATCAAACCGCCTCAAGCTCGTCATCAAAGCCGCCGAGCTAGGCTACACCGGAGTTGCTTACAACCGTGTAATTAAAGGCGTTATGTCCGAATCGGACCGTTGCTCCACCTCATTATTCCCCCTCTCTTCTCTCCTCAAACACGCCCCTTCTTTTTCTAGCTCCGTTAAGTTCCACCGTGACCTCTTAAACGTCCCCGTTTCCACCCCTTTCCGTCAGTACTCCCGATTAACTGTCGTTATTGATTGCCCGGCTCAAGCTGCCGCTCTTAATTCGGGTAATCCTGTTATTAAAAGCTACGATATAGTCGCTGTAAGGCCCATAAATCAGAATGCTTTCGAGCAGGCTTGCCAAACCTCTGAGGTTTGTTTCTTTTTTTCATTTTTATTTGTATTTTTAATTTTTAATTAATTTTCTCTACTTTAATTTGTGAATATTTAATATCTGGGATTTTATAAGCATGATGATAGGAATCAAGTATGAAACTTGGGGATACAAATACTAATTTGTTTAATTTGTATTTCCATTGTATACAAGTGTTCACGTATTTGTTTTTAACGGTTAGTTTTTATGAATGCAGGTTGATATCATTGCTATTGATTTTTCAGAGAAGTTGCCATTTCGGCTCAAGCAATCGATGGTGAAAGCTGCCGTTAAGGTTTCTTCTTCATTATTGGCTTCTCTACGAACTCATGATCCTCAGAAATTTGAGATATAGTTGCAATTTAATGTGATCATTGTGCTGTTCTTAGTTAAACGCAAACAACATTGAGGCATTTTGGATTCATTTGTTTTCACTTGTAGGGATAGGTAGGACCGCCCCTGCCCTTATTGCCTCTGGTTTGGGGAGAGAAGAGCGTGCAGACATTATTACAAGGAAACTGGTCTATACTATTTTTGTAATATGATTAAAATGAGGGGTGATTGTGCACGCTGCCGTAAATGCTCTCGAAGTCGAATAGAAGTTATTTTACAAGATCTTAGGCTTAGTTAATCTTCATTCACATGGGAATCCATTATTGATTGGTGATTGATGTCATAGACCCGTGGAAATGGGGGAAGGAAGGGAAGGGGGGTATCTGTAACTAGTTAGGTTACTGCACTGTGATCATCGCTGTCACAGGTTGGGAAGACTGAAAAGTCTTTCTTTGTGTGCATGTGGATGGAATATGTAATTTATTTTTTGCATAAAACCAATCTCATTCAAAGTGATAGTTTCTCACAGTGGTAATTGTGTATACAAATTACATGCAGCGTGGGGTGTATTTTGAGATCAGTTATTCGAGTCTCATTGTAGATGCTCAAGTGAGGAGGCAAACAATATCTAATTGCAAGGTGAGTTCTGGAGATTTTTTTTCTTCCTAAAACTCTGAAATAAGTTGCAGCTTGGCCTTATAGACTTTCGTCATGGAAATTCATAGTGGTCCCTACTTCCAATGGAATGCCTGTCAAAGCATTTAAGTGTTGATCAGAGTTCTGCAATGATATTAAACTTGAGACGACACTTGTTTTAGTTGTTTCAAGTGAAATAGAGATATGTTAAATGATGTACACACCAACTTTTCTAACTTCACTTTAATGATGGTGATAACACTAGTTTAACTTTCACTTTTCCAGCATACCTACTGGAAACAAATTCTTCATCACCTAATTTTATTCGAAGCATAACTTTCAGTGTACAACATAGCTTAACTTGCCATATTCCTTTTCCAGTATTTGATGGTTGTGAGTTTGAGAGAATTTAGTTAAGATTGATTTGCAAGTCTCTGTGCTGAATCACATACTGAGTTATGTACCATTTTCTGTAGATACTAGAAAAATGAAAGTCAATTGCATCATTGCATTTTAGCTCCTAATGGATTTTTCTGATGGAGTTCAAAGTTTGATGACTATAATCTGGAAGACCCACCTTTTGGGTTGCAAATGCTCATTAAACCTATCATTGAACATTTGTTACTTCTGGTTTGAACATGAAACCAACCGAAACTTCCAGCTACTGGTGGATTGGACTCGAGGGAAGAATCTTATCATCTCAAGTGCTGCTGCTTCTGTGTCTGAACTTAGGGGGCCTTATGATGTTGCAAATTTGTTTTCACTGATTGGGCTGCCATTTGAACATGCTAAGGCTGCTGTTTCCAAGAATTGTAGGTATGCTGAATCGTAGGTTTTCGTGCAGGTGTGTACGTGTTTTTTCCCCTCAACACTTTTATCTGAGTGTGTTCAGCATTTTTTTTTCTTTATGGCAGATCTGTCATAGTCAATGCATTGAGGAAAAAGCATTACTATAAGGACGCAATAAAAGTAGAAGTAATGCCTTCTAGTGGAAAAGTTAATCCCGAGGAAAGTGTATTTAGTGACTGGCTTAGGTGGGATCCCATTTCGAGTGGCGAAGGTGACTTGCTATTAGATGACATTGAGAAGTCTTTCTCAGCTTCTGGTAGTGTACATAATACTGTGAAAACTGTTGGATTTGCCTCAGCTTTAAATAGCCTCCCTTCTCATGGTTTGCAGATTAAGGAGATTTTATCCGCTGTAGAGTCTGCATCTGAGGCACTGGATATTGGTAAAAACCTGTCTGGTGCTGATGAGTCTAAGTTAACTGTTTCAGTATCTGGGATATCTGAAGAGTTGTCAAGGACTAATCTTCTGCCTGAAGAAATTCAGACTTCTGAGAATGATAGGCATCAGAGCCCCAGACATCAAGATTCTGAAATGCGAACTCTGCCTAATGGATCTGTAAATAATTCTCCTCTAGCGGAAAAAGAGATTAACCATGTGGTTGCCACAATGGAATTGAAAACTGCAAAGGACTTGGATGCAGACTTACCTGCTTCTGATAGAGAATTGCATAATTTGCATTCACAAAGTTGCCTAGATAGTTATGAACAGGTCCCTCTAGCAGATCATATGACAAACCGCTATAGTGCAGATGATGCTGACACAGCTCATACCTGTCATGATATTGCCAATGCGGAAATTCTTTTTCATTCAAAAGATGTTTTATCCACTTTCCATGGTGAAGAAGCTAAGATGCCTATCAGTTCCACCAAAGGTTTGTATGCAGAAAGTGGATCAGTTGTGGACAAGATTGAGATGGATCGGGAAAACAAGAAAATACCAGCTTTTGCAGTGTCTGATACACATTCAAATGAAGAGTTTAGGGAAAATAAACAATTTCAGGAAAAGTTAGAGAATTTAGCTGCCTTTGCTATTGAAATTCCTAATGAGGAGTCTCATGATCCGGCAAAAAAGGCAAATGGGTCTCTGGTTTCAGAAGTCGAACCCATTGAAGAAGACATGGCTTCTGAACTGATGCAGGAAGACGAAAAGGAAGAACGAAGGAAATTGAAGGGTGAAGTTGCAATGCATTGCCCATTTCTTAGCAAATCTGTGTCAGGTGATGAAAGAAATTATCGTTGAGTTGTAATTTTAGTTTGATGCTGTCAACTGTAACGATTCCGGTTTGTTTGGATAGTGTATTATTTGAAATATTATTTGGAATAATTACTGTAGCACTTTTTGTGATGTGATGTATGTAAGATAAAAAGTATTTGGGAATATAAAAAGATAGGTTGGGAAATGTGTTTGTGATGCAAGCGAAATATTATTTGAGATAATTTTGGTATCCAAACACTCCCAATTTGGCATATTATCTCAAACCAAAAAGCATTTTTCTCATTCGTGCGTATTATCATTGTGGTTGTATTGATTTTTATTCTTTTTCTACTACAATGTAAGTCCCCAACTATTACATTATTACATTATTCGGGGATTTTATTATGTTTTAGACAATTTGTTGTCCAGTATGGGGTTCTGTAGAAATTTATTACTTCAAGTTTCAAGTACCTCTTCCTTCCATTACTTCTTAAAGTTTGCTTTTTCTTCACTCGTTATTCTCCTTTTTGTGATAGTTATCTGTGCTTATATCCTGAATGTAGTCATAAGTATTAGCGGCAGATAGGGATTGAGCAGAGTACAGTAGGGTAAAGACCAAAAGTCAGTTACATAATTCTTTTGCGTTGGTCCAACTTTAACGAATCATCTGTTTACAATCTCTAGCCTGTAATTGCGCCTAACTTTGTCAGTGGTTGATTCCACTGTTTCATATTCCTGACCGCACTCTATCCTACTGTTTCTGGGTAGATAAAGGCGACCCCCTACCATTGCTTATCCCTAGTTAGAATGAAAAGAGTTGAATATTGTTCTAACAATGGATTTTAGTATTTAAACTTTGTGCAATTTGCTGACCGCTACTGGACTGCTGTTTGCACATTTTAGTAACATCATGCATTCCATTTTGCTATACTCATTTGTTTTTCTTGCTTTGATAGTACTGATTACTTTTATTTTGTCAATATTATGTTTAATTCAGTTTTTTGTAAAATACAGGAAGAGGCAGAGGAAAACGAAGGTCAGTTCACCAGAAGATTCCTTTTAATCTCAAACATATCTTGAATTCAAGGCCTTTCAAGAGGAAGGCTCGCAAGTTAAATACAACCTAAGTAGGTAAGGTTTCCTTCCTTTAAAATTGATCTCGGTTGGTTTACAACTGTATAATAGTTGAGGCTGTAGTGCTGTACCCTTTCTTCTGTAGTTTTTTTTCCCTTCTTCCTTTATCATAGAAGACCTTTGTCTTCAAGTGCCATTTTTCCCTTCATTTAAATTCTTGGTCCTTGCATCTGAGACTACAATTTATTAAGAATATGAAAATTGGAAAATTTTTCATTTTCAGGAGTTTTTGATCTTGTTTAATGAATGTTTATTGTGGCTGCAATTGTCATGGTTGGAGGTAAAATTATCTCTATACTCATTTCCCTGAAGGATAGCAACATTGATACTTCATATTCATTAGCTGAAAAATGCAAGGATGGACTGTCGATATTGCCGCTTTCCGTAATTATTTTGTGCATGTAAGTTTTGTTTATTTGTTAGAATCAACTGACTTGATTAATTGTTTAAAATATTCTTATCCAATTCAAGCTTTTATAAATGTGCAGTGAGAAATTTGAAAAATTGATTCAGCTGAAAATTTTTTTTCCTTGAGTTCACGTTAAAGTTCTTTAAAGGCAAGAGCTATTGAAGTCCTGAGTAGATTTTGGTGGAAAATTAAATGGTGTTATACTGCACTTGACCTATAGTTTGGTTGGCAAATGCAGCCCAATCTTGTGATTAAAAAACTATTTACTGTTTACACTAGTATATCGCAATAAACATATCATTGAGCGAATATTCTAACAAAAGTTACGTCTGAGTCTTTCTTCATAAATGTCTGACATTTCTGTGAGACCCCTTGATTTTTATCTTTAATTTCTAAAACGACATTGTGGGAGCCATTATGGTGGTTGCTCTGCTCTTGTTGTTATGCTTGTTCTTTTTAATCATAAAGTTGGGTTGATTGCATAAATACAGAGGGTTTCGGGAAGCAGGGGAAGTTAAGCATGGAAGGGACAACGACCAGTGGATGTGAAAAATTAGTGTAGTTTTGTAATTTTTAGCTGGGATTATTCTTGTGTGATTGCTAAGAAACTCCAGGGGTAGCATTTCGGGACAAGTTGCTATCTGAGTAAAATGGGCAATCATCATTATCCTACAATGCTTTAAAGTTTTGAATGTGCCTAAGTGCTGATCTTTATCGTAACTGGAATATATAGCTAAAACTAGGCGAGTTGAATATAATGCTTTTCATGTGCTATGCTATTTTTTATGGCCTATTATTGTTCTACAATCCCGAGGAAGTTGGACCTTTTTTCTGTTCTTTCCTTTTCTATTTGCTAATAATACTCTAAAGGGAAGTAGAGCGGCTGCTGTTTGTTTACTTTCTGCATAATTATCACACCTTATAGACAACTGTCCTTTTCCAAGATCATAGGCTTTTGTATCTAGCGTCTAACCTTGACAAGATTCCCCAGTGTGTGGATTGTGCATTTCTCGTGGTAATCAAAATCTTTTGTTTGTTTTACCATATTTCTTGGTCAAATTTCTTAAATACTTGATGAAAACTTTAGTGCTTCAGCTATTTATGGGATTATCAAGTGGATCATTAGGTTCAAATCCAGAAAATGGAACTGGCTAGAATCTCTTGCACATGTGGGGGGTAGACAGGTGATTCATGATGAAGCTTATGCATGTTTTAACACTAGGATGTGGACAACCTAGGTCTTTGTGAAATAGTTTATTTGTTGCCCTTCTTTTGACTGGTTATTCACAGGTAGTGGGCTAGCCACTGTCGTCCTGACAAGAATCAACCAGCCGTCCTCCCACTTCTAGGCATCTTGATTTCTGTGGCCTTCAACTAAAATACAAAGTCCAGATTCAGATGCTAGTCATTACACTTGCACTCATAACCTTCAATGTTGTAACCTTGTGCTCATCATTCACTAACGTGAGAGACCAAATGATTAGGGTAAATTAGGAGCAGGATTGTTACTTTTGGAATATTAAATAACAGACATGACTCCTAATGCCAGACACTGCTCTTAAAAAATATTGAAAAGGAGCAGGGACGGGCTTTGTGCAGCTGTATTTATCTTTTAGTCGATGCCATATATAATTTAGGTGGTTTCTTTAGCGGGTAGGTGCCAGCTTCTTTAGACCTTTGTTTATACCTTATTGCTTGTTCTTTAAGGAATATGGATCAAGCGGCTTACTGGAGGAATTATAATTTCTATTTTGGGAAAGAATGTCTGCCTTCTTCCTTAGACATTGCTGCTGCTTAGGAGATATTAAGAGCCCCGACGATTTCACATTTGTGATCTCAAACATCCATGAGAGAAAAATATTTGAATGACATTCACGCATGGATAGAGATGCATGTTCCACACTGAGTTTTTGAGTATGCCTTGTTTTCTTATTTTAATTTGACATGTCTGACGTGGGGTTCAGAGATTTCAAAAATGTGAATATCTCAACCAGGAAAAGATGCAAATATTCAAGGACATTTTATCAATTCGCTTGAAAAATGTAGCTGTATAAAGTTTGGAGATTATACCGCTTCTGAGTGTCAAAGAATGAAGTAGCAAAGTTTGCATAGAAACTCCCTGCATTTTTCTTCCAATTTTTTTTTTTTTGATGTGCTAGCGTCCAGCGCAACCAGAGGCTGTTGCTAGTAGTACTGGGCAACAAATCCCATGTTTTTCAAAACGACCAATACAAGCTCGACACTATTTTTCCGAAGCTATACGGTATAAAACTCTTCAGAGGCCTTCCTCCACTATAACCGATGTTACAGTACTAACTTCCGGATGCTAATTATTGTTGCGTATGCCATTTGACTGCTCAACTAAGTGGGGTTTGCTGGCTGAGCACATTGTAGATATGGGGCGGTTGATCTGTCAACCTTCCTTCCGAACAATGTAACATTTTTTGAACGTTTTATAATTTTATATAAATTTTTTGTACATCTTTATGATAGAAATATGATATTTTGTTATCGTTTATATGGATCATATATGTAGTAATTATGTCTTTATTGTTAAGGTTTATAAAAATTTACAAATAATTTATGTAGAGTTGCGTCTTATTACAAAATATTACATTATTCCAAAAGACTGTTACTAACAATATGTTCAGGTCCGTATCCATAGACATGATGGATGAAGTTGTTGAAGTCCCCCATAGTGCCGGTATCAATAGAGTGTAGATTAGTTAGGTGTCACTTTCCTGGCGGTGAAAACTGACTTTGCTAAGTCTCTTCCATGCATTTTAACGGGAAAGGGGCCACAGCACTCCGGAGGTTCAGTCCGATTGCTAATACTTTTTTTTTTTTTTTTTTTTAAAAAACATTATTTGATATATAATTATATTATATTGTTGTATACAGAGTAAAAAGTTATGTATATGAATAGAATACTTGTCATGTATTTAGTACAATGTTATGATATATTTGTACGTAAAAAATTTAAATACGTACGATTGGATGACAAAATATAAACATAATTATACTGAGTGCTTGTCCCATTTTAACCCAGGTTATGACATTAGCATTTGTCTTTTGCGAGGTTTATCAAAATTTGGGTTGAGGTTGCATCATAGGTTCCCTAGTGATTAGCACAGTTTGTGGAGTTGAGGTGAAATTTGCTAACCATGTGGGTGGGAATGTTTCTGATCAACTATGTAAATTTGATTGAAACGCGTTCCAAAAAATGCAACAATGTGATACAGAAGATTTATGTGGACATTATTAATCCTAATCTAATGTCGAAATGAGATTATCGTTTTTAAGATGAATATGAGGGGTTTACATCTCATTTCGTTCAGCATATAGATAGATACATACGAATATGGAACCAACAGGACAATGTACAAAACTACCTTCGAAGTGCATCAATACAAAATAGAAACGCCAATGAGCTCAAATACACAAAGACCATGAGGGAGCTCTTTTTATCAGACGCAATCCTCGACAATGCTAAAAGTACATTGCAATCAAAGATTACCATCTTCAACACGTAAACTAGGTGCTCCATTGACATTAAAACTTAGGAGCTTCATAATGTAATCCCGCGATTATGGGATGAGAGTAGTTGAGAATGTATCAAGGATATTAATCCAGTTGTCATCGTCTTCGTCCTCCTCCTCAATGCCAGCCTGATCCCATTGATTTTGAGAAGCCTTCTCAATCTCATCATTCCTGGCAAACCGCCCTCTGATGCGTGGTCTGCTGTCTGCAAGTGTCTTCCTGCATTCATACTAAATCATAGAGAAGTTAATTCGAGTTACAAGAATAGCCCACGAAAAGATAGAATTTAAAGCTGTGGAGGCTTAGAAGCCCCCATGGACCCTGAAAAGTAATGCAGGTAAACTTGAAAAAGGACACTGTACGTGCCTTCATGTGTTAATCATACCGACACCACTTGATTTAATCACACACTATTTTGTCTAGGAGGCTTCTTATTTTCTCCTTAGGACCACCTATTTGTCTATCCGAAACTTTCACCTCACTGCTACTCTGGGGATTTATGCTTGTATAGATGCACGTTGATAAGGCTTCTTGCGCGTTCTGTTGAGTTAAATGAAAAGAGGAAGGCGTGAATAGATGTTAGCTATAGTAGTAAAAAGTACCTTGATCTTCTTGTTGAAATTCCTGAGATTTCGCTTGCTCCTATATCTCTCAATCCTCTCTTTCTTTTCTTCTGGACTATATCTGCAGGCTTTGCTCATACTTTCAATGATGCTATACTCATTCGCCAGAGAACTATCTGCCAGACGGCTATGTTGCTTTGGAGTCATACCCTGCTATAACAAGAGGTGTCGGGTCGGGGAGTGTCTCAAATAGTTATCTATTGAGTGTTAAATTGTCTAAAAGTCATGCAAAACAAGAGAATTAACTAAACTTGGACCCTTTTTAACTGAATGTTTGGATTATGACCAGTAAATGCTTCTCTCTCTCTCTCCAAAATGTACACTTATCTACATCTGGTATGATCTTTTTCTATCATAGTAATATACTACTGTTTTCTCAGCTTATTTGACTATTTTCACTGTCAGTTCCAAGTCGCCCAAAGTTTGTCATCTTGTAGTCATTACAGCAAGAAAAGTGTTGGGAAATGATAGCACTACTATTATCATAAGATTCCGAAAAGATAAGGAGAAAAAAAAGAGATTTGCAGCTTATTATTCGACATCAAACTATGTTCTTGGACAGAAACACATCACTCTACGGGTCTTCTCAAGCCGCTTAAGCAGACTTTACCCTAGGTCCACCTCATGGTTATAAAGAAACACGCCTCTAAAATTTCCTTTTTAGGCCTTTTAATGAAATAACACCGCTCCCTTCCTTGTTAATTTGGGGAAGCAAGATGAATATGGTCTGAATTCCCATTCATGCGAGTGAGTATATAGACAGACTTGGTTTAGACTTAGAAATGCTTGGGGTAAGACAAACATAATTACTGCCCCTCATGCATCAGGTTGAAAGCCAGAAACCTTTCTGAACTGTAACATGGATTGATTTATAGTACGTGCATGGAGTTAGCAGCGAAAGATGCAGATTTGCATGCTTTTACTTGAATTTTATAGAACCCTCAGTCTGCGAATGAAAACCATGACCTATGACTGCATATAAACTCACCTCCAGATCGCCAGCGCTAAACACTTTCCTGAAAGGACTAGTTTCTGAGTCATAACATGCAGTTGGGGACGAGACAAGGGCAGAAAACCCCTCTACATTGTTCCTATGCAGCAGAGAGTGACTGCTGATGCTTCTTTGCATCAGATTGGCATTGTAGTTAGACTCGTAGCTCGTTAGCGAAGTTGGAGAACTGTAATAACTACTATTATAATTGGTTGTTGCATAACTGGTGAGCGAAGTTGGAGAGCTGTAGCTGCTGCATCCACTGCTAGTACTAGTGTAACTAAACTCTGATTTCAGAGCACACGAAGACTCGTACTCGTTGACAGGAATGGCTAAAGGGGCTGGCAAAGAAGATGCCGAAAAATGACCGAAGAATTCTGGTGTTGATGATGATGGTGGTGAATAAACACAAGGAATTTCATTGGTAGCAGGAATATTAGCGTTGCTATGTGCATACATGGTGTGGGGGTTTCTGCTGAGCTTGTGGGGTTTAGCGGAGGTTTTAGTCTGTTTTGTTAGTTATAGCGAGGAAGAGGAAGTAGTGGGCTTGGGGAGGTGTAATGACTTTGAAAAGTTTTGTGGCCTGGGATCATACGAGGAATGCGATGTATCCCATGA